ACAGTCAAACACAGCTTTATGTGCATCTGTATTTGGAGCCATCCTGAAAAAAACAAGAACCAAATCCAGGGACTTCTGGTTCACGGCTTCCAGGGATTCAAATGCTTGATATGAGTCAGTCAGCCACACACTCAATTTATTAGAGAGAGGGTTTTGACTGTCTGACAGCTGCTTCTGTTTGAGGCTTTCAAAAGACAAACCAGAAAAATGTGCATTTTCAGCTAAAATGCAGTGATGTTGAAAACTGAACGACAGCTAAATTTAGTAAATTAAACTGAACTAATAAAGTTAAAACTATCAGAAAACCGCTAAAATGAGTCAAACAAAGGCTAAAATCTAAAATTAACCACATAAAAACTAAAATCTAGAATTATCAAAACAATTCCTAAAAGTTTGTAGGTCAGTAGTGAAAAGCTAAAATGATCAGATCAGTACCTAAAGTGAGTTAAACACCTGCTAAAATCTGAAACCAGTAGAACAACTAAATCTAAAATTAAGAAAACAGTAGCAAGAAACAAAATTTTCAAACCAGATGTAGTATGACATATCCTGAGATATATTCATCAATTAAACGGGTTCTTTCATTTTTCTGGACTGTATAACATGCGTGCATTGAATGTAATAAAATGTGGACGTGAGACGTTAACTAAAATAAAAACAAGCAAAACAGTAGCTAAAAACTAAAAAGTGAGCCCAGCAGAGCAGTATGTAAAACTTAAACCAGTACTGTAGTAGCTAAAAGCTAAAAAATATCAAAATAGTAACCAAAGGCTAACTAGCAAGACAGTAGCTGAAAGTTAAATCTATCCGTTCTTTAGCTGAAAACTAGTCTGCCTAAAGCAACTAAAACTAGCCTAAAATAGTAGAACAACAGATAACTGCTAAAATTAGCAAAACTGTGCATAGAAGCCACAATTTGTAAAACGGTAACTAAAAGCTAAAACTAGCATAACAGCAGAGTATGTTAAAGCTAAAACAAGCAACACAGTAGCTAGAAGTTAAATGAAGTGGGTATTTTGATGTGGATTTCAAGGAGCTCTGAGTTTTTTGGGATTTGAAATGATTTCCATGCCTTTCATAGAAGGAAAAAGTGTGAAAGGAGCAAATACCATAAGTCATAACTGTAACGTCCTGACGAACTGAACATTACAAAAACAGCTGAAGGTGGAACGGTAGGTGACATATTTTGTTTGCGTCAAAGAAAATGTTGCTTTTTAAGTGAGAAGGTCTTAATGTTCATGTTTTTCACAACATTCATGTAGTTTTCTCATCTTTTTGTTGCCTCAGAGATGCAAAACCTTCCTAACTGTCCATAAAATGTCCTCCTGGCTTCTCTCCCCCTTTCTTTTGGTTATCCCTCTGTTCTCCTGATGAAAAAGCCAAGATTTCTACGCCTCATTCCCCCTGGATAAATGACAGATTCTTTCCTTCTTTTTTTCTGTTTTTGTTTCTTTTCTTTCTCTTCCTCGGTGCCTGTCAGTCGCTGATGAGGTGAACGAAGTTAGTTCGGGGGGTAATGGGGGGATGTGGGAGGAGTGAGGCGTCTTCGTGCATTGGAATGGCAAGATTAGTGAGGTGGATGTGTGTGTATTTCTCAACAGAGGAATTAAATGCAACAGTAGCCCAGAGATCCCACTTATTCAACATTTTTAGCTGAGTGCTGCTCATTATTCACAGCTGCCTCTTTTTTTTCTGCTCTCCAACTCTCTGAGCTCTCCTCCAGACCGTGGATGGGTGTTACGAGTCAATACCTCAAAACATTCAGGTTTATGACATTTTAAAATAAAGAACTGTCTGCTGCGCTCTTATCATCACAACGTCCAGCACAAAGAGTCATTTCAGAAGAAGAAACGTCTGTTTTTTACTGCCTGCCTCCAAGAGGGGAAGGTGGGTGATTATGTTTATTGCCCATGTGCGTGTTGCATGTGTGTCTGTTAGCAAAATACCTCATGAATCATAGGGCAGCTTTTATGAAAGTCTCAAACAGTAATCATTGGATGCACGTCTAAAACTGATTAACTGGTAACAGATGTTTCCTGGAATGCTTTTGAGATATATGTCTTTGATTTATTTTATTGTATGCAGCCAACACACTTGGGAAGAAGTGTTAAATGTCATTTTAAAAGTCATATCTGACCAGCTTGAGTTTTGAGATTAAAACACTACAAAGTAAACTGGATGTTGAGATGAAATAATGTGAGGATGGACGATGGACTGGAGTCAATCCTGACAAAGGTCAAAATGTTGTTTTCTCCATTCTTGAAGCTGCATACTTTCTGCTTTGAGACGGTTGTGGTACACATAATTATTTCCACAACTGTGTAAATAAATAAATCTGAAGAAAATGTAATTTTCCTGAAGACGCACAAAAAAAATCTTGATTAAATAAGCATCCTGCAGAGAGCTTTGTTGCTGTCAGAGATGATCGCTGTCGCCAGATTACTGACTGTGGGATATTTATTTTGCAACCACAAGTTCAAGACTGACAAGAGACAAATTATAATTTTTTTTAATTTACTTAATCAAATGTTTTCAAAGATTTTGATTTGGAAACAAAAGATTATGTTTAACCTTGCAAAGCACAGCAAAATTTGGTGAGAAAACAACTTTTTCACAATTACGTTGCGTTTTACAGTGAATACCAGGCTCAGAAATTCTAAGAATAGATGTATCTGTTTGTACTTTTACTTTTCCGAAATGAAATTTCTAAAATATTTTGTGAAAATACAATGTTTATGTATGCTTAAAAATTAAATTAAGCTAACTAGGAAATAAAAATGGTGCCTCCTCAGTGTTGTGCTTTGGGCAGAAGTTGTGTTAAAACCGATAAAACACAAACGGCAGTGAAATTCCTCTCTTTCCTACACAGTTTAATTCTGTGGACTTCATTGATGAGAATCAAATTTACAGTCAGTAACAAAGAGGCATGTCAAGATTTAAAGATGTAAACACTTAGACATTAAAAGTTTTTTTTTCAAGTTTGAGCCTGTGGCTGTTATTGTCCAACTAGAAAGAACCTAATGCAAGATAAATGTTACATCTTTCATTCCATCTTCTCCACCTTTGTTGTCACAGTCAGCTGAAGGTCAGGATGATCTAAAGAACCTAAAGTCCGTTGTGTTATTCTAACCCTGATCTCCACAACTTGCTGCCCTGATTAACCCCAGCATTTTCATCGTGGCCCCTCCAGATCAGCAGTATCCCTCTTGTCCCGAGGGCGGCACGAGGACAACTACTGTTGTCTTTTCATCACAGCATAATCTGACTAATCCAGCCGCCTCGTTTATTTACACAAGAGGTCTGCAGGGGTTTGCACAGAGGACTCTGCCACCAGTTCCACTGTGGTTAGAGAGCTCACAATAAAACAACACGCAGACTCCGTCCCGCTGCCCCCTCAGAGCCAACACAGCCAGTCACTTCATCGTTTTCTCAAGAATTTTGTCTCTAACTCAAACGCCAGCGTTTGCACCGTGACAAGAGTTTATTTTCAAGCCTAACAGCATCTGACATTAAGTTGTAGATAATGGACAGGAGAAGTTGATGGTCCACCGGCGTTTTGGAGCTGTTGGATTTACCTTCATTTATGAAACAGTGCAGCAGATTGCAGTTGGACCAAGAATCAAGCTAAAGTTTAATTTAAACAAGATCAAAGTGAGATGAAATCTTCATTTAGATTAGCTTCACAGTAAAAGCTCAGTCACAAAATATTAGATCTGTCACACTAATCATTTTCAGAGCCCTCACTGAAAGCTAAACTCAAAAAAGGGTTTGATTTTCTGAAGTATCACTTTTTTTAAAATCAGCTTAAAACAAGGAGCAGAAATTACCACCCGCCAAAAAGCACACACTGATATCTGATATCCAGTTAATTGAAACTGTTCTGCTTGAATTATCTGCTTGAAGCCAGTGACCTAAACTCACCTGTCTCCTTAGCCAACTGATATGTGACACAAAACCAGTTCACAAAAACCAGTCCAACACCAGAGCAAAGGATGGAGGAATGTTGATCAGAACCGGACAGATGCTTCCTCCTGTCTGCCTCCAGCCGCCCATCACACTAACTTTCCCTGACGTTTTGGGGGCTTTCATGATGGAGTCTGCGGCGGCCGGACACAGCTCCACAGCAGCCTGGAGCTGTGTCAGTAATGGCCGTCTTCTGTTATTTTAACCATTAACATAATGGCAACATTAGTTCCAGGGCCACGCTTCCCTGCTCCCAGGGAGCTATTGTTTGAAGGCACCAGTCAAGACTCCACCTGTGGCCTCGGATTTAACTGGGCTTTGAAGACACAGGGGGAGAGGGCGATACAGACGGGCTATTCATGCGTCTAATGTTAGCACGAGTTGTATGTTTTTATATTTCAGGTGTGTTCACATGTTGAACTATTTGTGCGCAATTTGGATTGTGAAAAATTACATAATGACTTCCCCGTGACTATCAATTTGTCTGCCGTAATTGCTTCATTTTTGTCACTTGCTCCTGCCATGTGTTCTCTAAGCTAAATAATCCCCAAGTTTTCAGCTTGTGACGAGAGAGCGTTTCTCTCTTTGGGTTCATTCTGGAAAATCTTTCAAAAATAAAATGTGCCGGAGCGTTTCAAATCAGACCCTCAAAGTAAGTCGAAGTTAAAGTTTCTTTATTTGTCATACATGTGTTGCATGTGGTGGAACGAAATTGTGTACACAGGGTCCCAGTTACATCCAATAAAAGTATAAATAGTAAAGGAAAACAGTAACAGATCTAAGATATGAACTAAAAAAAAAAAGGTTAAACTAAAAATACGCTAAGCACTAGTAGCACAAAAACTACACCGAACAGCAGCACCTAAGATGTAGGTGGTGGAACATATTCTAGACTAGTACGTGATATTTCTGTAAACACTTCAAAGGTAAAACTCATTTTTAAATGGCACATTTAGGATGCTAAACAAATATGTTCTCTGCAACATGCAGCCTCATCTTTTCAGTCTGAAGTTGCACTCGTTTAAATCTGGACTCACCTTGCCAGAACAGCCAGACTCCACTCAGCAGGTGACTGAAACGCCCGTTTGACATGTTTTCTGCACACTTCATTCAAACAAACAGCTTCAACAACGAATTTGAAGCAGAAATCCAAGTCACAAAGAAGATCCCATCAACAGGAGAACATCATCCTTCAGAAGAACTTCTGGTCTCTACTATCTCCACTTCTTGATTTCCATAGTTATACTGTTTTTACGTCCTGAATTGAAACCTTTGACAGCAAAGGAAATAAAAAGGTGATATTTTTAAAATTTTTTGCTGCTTCACTTCTTTGCAGGACTGTTCTGCTCCATTCGATGCACGCTCAGCGAGTCTGTCAGTGTGTGTGAGCTGGAGCATTTTTTGTGCGAGCGCTCCTGGTGCGCTCTTATATATGATCTGAGCTGAGAGGGAGCAGACAGAAAGGTGGTGGGAGGGCAGGGATAGAGAAAGTTGTGTGTGTGTGTAGGAAGAGGAAGGGGTGTGAGCTTCAGACTTCCTCCAATAAAACGTGTAAAGAGATATTAGGGCAAGGTGCAAAAAGGCAGCGGTGAGAAGGAGCAAACAGTGCAGACACACAAACACATCATTAAAACATCTGTTATGGATGATTTCTGCACAGTCACTCATGCAACACCTTTGATGTTGAACAGTTTTTTATTTTTTGTCCTTTGATATGTGAAGGTGGAGGATTATACCCTTTGTCTTTGTGTGTGTGTGAGCTTGTCTATGTTGCTTTGTGAGGACCATTTTTTTAACACATAGTACAATGTGAGGACCAGCTCCTCTTTGTGGGGACCAAAGCCCAGTCTAAGGTCACAAAGGTTCAAGTGTCATTGGTGGGTTAGGGGTTAGGTTTAGGACTAAGGTGTGAATTGACGATGGATTAGGTTTAGGGTCAGGGTTGGGCTATAGAAATGAATGAAACATGAATGGAAGTCAATGCAAAGTCCACATAAAGATAGAATGACAAAACTGTGTGACCAAAATATGTCATGAAAAACTGGACTGATTTTAACGAGACTTTAAGGAAATATTCATTATTCCTCTACAATCAACATATTTTAGCGCCAACCCAAATGGAAATGACTATAATTCAGTATATTGTGCAAACATTTGTTGTTTTAGCTGAGAGTCATTCATAACACTTACCTCAAGTTTTACACATTTGCTTAAAACTTCAGCATTAACAAAATATCTTTAGTGCAGACAGATTTTTATGAAACTTTTGGATCATAATCATTGGACATCTACAACTGATTAACTTGTGGAGTCAGTCCCACAGATGGCCGTCACTGCCGATCCACATTTGCCAACACAAAAACGCTTACGTGTTATAGTAGCTGAGAGTCCTGAAATGAGACTGTTCCTAATGTTTTCAACGTTTGATCCAAATGGCTACAGCTCATTTTTCTACAGATTTTAGGCTGAAACTCTTGCATGAAAGGCAACAGGTGCATTCCTTCAAGGAATGCTAGCACTTTTTGTGTGTTTTTTTTTTTTGCATGTTTATCAAAGATTGTTGAGTTAGCTGTAACATCAGTTTTCTCTGTATTCAGTAGGCTGACCTGTCCAGAATGATGCAGTTTTGTGAAAATGTGGTTCACAAGAATGTGCTCGAGATGCAAAACTTATGTTATTAACCAATCATAACTTTGTACATTTAGGGAATACATTAGTTTTTAAGTTCTTCACCTTATACATTAAAAAAATATATATATTTCTGGAAAATTATGTCACTTTTATAATGTTCTTAATGCAGTTTAGAATGTCCTTAATATGTAGATTTCCATGATTTTCTTTTAAAATACAGAGTAACAAGTTGATATTTATTGACGACACATACAAAAGACAAATGAAGCTACTAAGATACAAAATGAGTGAAAGATTTTAATTTATTGTTGCATTTTTGGTGAAAAAGCCTAAAATGAGAGGAATGATACTGTGCACTCACACACGTAGACACAGATGCTGCAGTCTCAGTGAATCATGGGCTCAGTGTATACATGTGGTCTGTTGACACTGTTGACCGCTGCAGAGGTAAAGAAGAGTTTCAAAGTGCTGCCAAGTGAGAGCTGGCAGCACATTTACAACGAGTGGGCTGCTGGCAAACACTGAAGGTTGAACACACACTCACCCCCATTACACACACACACAACTAATGGTCAGTGCAATTGGACGAAGGAATTTTACCACCGGTGCTGTTTTATTATGGCACATTTGGAAAACATAATCTTGCTTATATTCACATTTTTGTGCCAATTGTCAGTCTGTCTAAACGTTTGCTTCCTGACTTGGTTTTTTTAAAGCATCAGAGTGGTTTCTCACAGCCGTCACGCCATGTTCTCATGACCCTTAAAGACAAGACTACATCAGAACATATGGAGGCTTTACTTTTTCTTTTTTCTAGTTTGAAATAATGTAAAAAAAATAGTCACTTTCTGTATGAAAACCTCGTTGATACAGCCTATGGCCTAATTTAAATTTGTTATCAATGTATGTCATGCATTCTTGGTTTGAAAATGTCCCATTCAGTGATTTGTAAAAAAAACCCCTCAACAGATAAACAACCTGATTTAAAGTGGCATAGAAACATTTTTATTTACCGTATTTTTCGGACTATAAGGCGCAAAATCCTTTTTATATGTGTATATTATATATGCATTAATTCTGGTTGTACTTACTGACCTTGAACCGATTTAATGTGGTTATTGTGAATGAGTTGAATAAAGTTTGACTTTCCTGACTGTTTTGTTTTGTTTAATGCGCCTTATAATCCGGTGCGCCTTATGCATGAAAACAGACCTGTTCATTGATATAGCGCCTTGTAATGTGGTGCGCCTTATAGTCAGAAAAATACGGTACATATTTTTAAAATGGAGCTGTTTTGGACAAGTTGTATTTACTCTCTGCTGTTCAACTTTTTCAATTCCTTTGAAAGCTTAAAAAATGTAGTTTATTCCTATTAGAAAAAAAACCTACAAAAACTTGGTTCATTCATGCAGGATTATTTTGCTTTCTCAGTGTTGTGAAGATAAAAATGATTGTGCTGCGTGAATTATGTTCAGAGTCCATAGTTGCTGGTTATTTTGTGTAAATACAGTATTTGGGAGAACAACATAAGATTTATGTAAAAAAAAAAATTGTATAAACATCAAAATTCATGCTCAATGATCCAGGTAAAAAAAATCCAACAAAGTTCAGTCAGGTCATCTGGACGTTTTTTTTTTTTTTGTTGACGTTTCGTCCTTCATCCAAAGGACTTCATCAGTCCGAGGCACCACAACAAACTCAGTCCCACAAGCAGCACACTCGCATAGCAGAAACCATCCCAGAAACCGTCTTATCACCATCCATCTGGTTGGCCCACTATGTGAGTGTGCTGCTTGTGGGATTGAATTTGTTGTGGCTCCTCAGACTGATGAAGTCCTTTGGATGAAGGACGGAATGTCTCAACAAAAAAGAAACCATCCATATGACCTGACTGAACATTGTTGGATTTTCATATAAAGTTTTGAAAGGTGCTGAAACTTGAAGCGTTTGCACCCCGTCAGAACTTTCACCATCAGATGACAAATAAGAGTTCTCTTTTGAAGTGGTAAAAAAAGAGATTTATCAGCATATTTTGTTGAGCTACTTTTCCTTTCAACATTCACGTCCTTGCCGCCAGACATCACAGCTTTTATCTGTGGAGCTAATCTGATTGTTGATCAGTGCCACTGGCTAAGAGCTAACTTGCTGTGACAGACCCCACCGAGGGCGAAAAAGCTGGAGGACGGACGCTGCTGATCTCTGATTCTGGATGTGACAGCTGGATCCCTCAGGAGGGCACTGCCTGGGGCGTCAGCAGCTTTGATCCACTCAGGGTCCTCTCAGGAATGAACAAAGAACAATGTAGGTGTATGCACATATAACTAACGTGGCTCTGATTGATAGTTTCACATTTTTGTTTCATTTTCACTAAGTTGACTTTCCTTCCTATGTCTAATATGCACAGATGTACATCCACACAGACATATCCTGCTGGCACAAGAGTGTAGAATCTGGCGCGAGTCACTGAGGAATACACAACTAGCGGTATTTTATTATCAAATTATTTCTCCATCTTGTAACTTATACTCCTCCACTGAGGGAGAGCTATCAACTTCGGTGGGCCGAGTGTGTGGCGTGTGTTTGCTTGGGCACAAATCCTACATCTCAGCACACACACGTACTGTACAGTTGAGTAATCACATCTCCATTAACATGGGCTCCATATTTACACCCAACTTTAGAGAGCATTCATTCATCTTGGCCCTGCCCGTGAGCAGCATCAGCGCCCTCAGTTGGGCTGTGGGTTAACGTGCATCAGATCACTTTTTCTTTTGGGGTTTTCTTTCCTTTGTTCACTTTCAATAGAAGAATAGGAAGAAAAATCCTGAAAAAGACCAAATTTTTCTTTGTCAAATACAACTTTTAACGTGGTTTGAGTTATACTGATGATGAGATTAACAGCTTTGGTTTAAAAACCAGCACATATGAGGGTTTTCTTAAAGTGAGTAGAGATTTATGCTTGCATTTTATACAGTTTTTCTATTAGAACCAGTAATAACATTTTTATAAAGAAGCTGGAGAGCTGGTGGTGAAGGAAACAGTTAAGGATAAACAACTGAGTTTCAAAGTCAAAAGTTCGAGTTTCTTTATTTGTCATTCCACCACATGTGGTACATGTGATGGAACGAAATTGTGTGCACAGGGTCCCAGTTACATCCAACAAAAGTATAATTTGTAAAGAAAAACAGTAATAAAATCTAAGATATGAACTAAGAAAAAAAAGTTAAATTAAAAACACGCTAAGCACTAGCAGTACAAAAAAAATACGCCGAACAACAGCAGCACGAACATGAGTCTGTGTGAGCAGATGAATATGAATGAACACAGCAGCATGAAATAAATCAGCAGCACGAGATCAGCAGCATGGATAATCAGCAGCACATATCAACAAAGTGACTGTTTTTTCATTTATCTTTCATATAATTTATGTTCATTTTCGGCTCTACAGTTACTTTCAGTGTATTTTGGTAATAGTTTGCTTAAAGCTTAGACTTTCAAAATGTTAAACTACAATTTATGATTAT